ATTTTACTCTTGGTGGTAATGTAAACTTGCTCAATCATGCTGGAAAGCAGTATGAATTTTGCTCAAAAGACTAAGCATAAAGCTTCCCTATGAACAAGCAATCTACTCCTGGACGTTTATCCAACCCACTACAAACCAGGCCACATTAAAGGTACCAGCACAACTATGTTCATTGCATTGTTTACCATACGCATGATATGGAATTGACCTAGATGCCCTTCAATATATAGATCAAGAATATGTGGTACATATATACAGTGGAATTCTAGTGTTCTATCAAAAAGAATGATTTTGTACCATTCACAAGGAAATGAAAAGACTTGGAAAAATTATATTAAGTGACATAAGCCAGAACCAAAAAAAACATACATTGCATTATTTCCTTCATTTGTGTTAACTAATATGTGCCTTAAAATCTACAAGAAGTACATTTTCTGCTACAAAAAATACACTGGGGCATAATAAATTATACAGGTCTCTAAGCATTCACACACGGCTGAGACCAAAGGAGGGTATTCTTGGGAAAAGATTATGAAGGCTCAATAACTAAATGCATCTGATCATATAAACTAATATTTTTTGAAACAAACTCCAGAAAATGGAAACAAGAGTTTTAATTTTCTTGTTTTTAATTACATTTTTTATTGAGGAAAATACTGTACAGAGGGGTTACATTTACATGAGCAAGATAATGAGTACATTTCTTATCCAGCATTGTTGCCTCCTATTTTTCTTTGTTGCTGTTTTTGTTTTCTTTTCTTTTTGTCTTGTTTATTCCTTTATCTGTTTTGGGGGATGGCAAGGGAGGGGCAAAGAAAGGGTGGGACAAAGGGCGAACAAGTGCAGCAGTGATATTCACTAGATACTGAGTTGAAAATCAAATATACAACCAGGCTCAGGTGTCTCACACCTTTAATCCTAGCTACTCAGGAGGCTGAGATCTGAGTATCAAGGTTCAAAGCCCAGCCCAGTCAGGAAATTCTGTGAGACTCTTATCTCTTATCTCCAATTAACCACAAGAAAATAGGAAGTGGTGCTGTGGTTCAAGTGGTGGAGCACTCCCCTGAGCTGAAAAACTCAGAGACAGTGCGCAGGCCAAGAGTTCAAGCCCCATGACCAACAAAAAAGTAAATGAATAAATAAATAAATATAAGGAAAATGAACTATACAGCTTGGGAATAAGTATAAGAGGGAAAACTTGGAGAAAGAGAGAGAGACAGACAGACGGACAGACAGAGACAGAGACAGACAGAGAGAAAGAGAAGGAGGGCAAAGGGGTGACATGGTCCAAAAAGGAATGTACTCATTACCTGACTTACATCACCATCACTCCTCTGTAGTTTACCTTTGCAATAGCAAATATCTCTATGTATATCTACATATATCACCTTATATTTTGGAGTCAAACCACTTAGTGACAGGATGAGGAGACGGGGTCTTTGAAAAATGATCTGGTCCTAAGTCCAGAGCCCTCAAAAGTAAGGTTAGTGTCCAATATAAATCCCTTACCCCTTCTACCATGTGAGGTAAAAGCAGGAGGAGAGCCACCTGTGAGTCTTCTATGGCTTCATCTTGGACTTCGCAACCTCCAGAATTTCTGGCATTTACAAATCACACAGTTGATTGCATTGTGACAGCACCCTGACTTGACTCAGACAGTTCTTTTTTTTTTTTTTTTGGTCGGTCGTGGGGCTTGAACTCTGGGCTTGGGCGCTGTCCCTGCGCTCTCCAGCTCAAGGCGAGTGCTCTACTGCTTGAGCCACAGCACCACTTTTGGTTTTCTAGTGATTTATTGGAATAAGAGTCTCATGGACTTTCCTGCTCAGGCTAGCTTTGAACCGCGATCCTCAGCCTCCTGAGTAGCTAGGATTACAGGCATGAGCCAACGGCGCCTGGCTAAGACAGTTCTTAACTAAGGCAAAATCTTCTAACCTGGCCCTTCTCTTTCTGATGAAAATGAGACCGGCAATGTTCCTTTTCTCTTGTGAACACAGTTTTCTCCATGCTAGACTCATGCCATTGGGATAAGCATCCTTAACCTTCTTTGCCTCCACAGTTTGCAAACTGCCACACATGACCTCAATTTATCAATATCTATTCCTTTCTGAATCCCTCCACAAAGGCTTTTTCTTATAGCACTCCATAAACCTGCTTTTGTTGAGATCCCAACCACCTTCAAATTGCCAAACCCCGTGTTGAATTCTCAGTCCTCATTTTCCTCGTCTTGTCAGATAATGACTCCCTCCATTTGGATGTTATTCATGTGCCATCAGGGTGTTACACTCATCTGTTTGTTCCTTTGCTCCTTTGACCACACCTTCATGAGACCCTTCTCTGACTACATCATTTCTCCCGGTTTATAAATCTTGAATTACCTCCCAAATCTTAGACCATTTATCTTCTTTTGCACACAATTCCTTAATAGTCTCACCTAGGACAGTGCTCATGTTTCTATTTCCAAATCAAAGCTCTCCTGTGCATGTGGGTACAGCTACTAAGTTCGACCATAACTCTTACTTTGAGATTATAAATTCTATCCACAGAGAGTAATATTAGAGTTCAACTTGAGTCTAATGCTATATTTAATTTGCTTTATTATTTTTGTGTAAGTTCTCTTCTGCCATAGGAATGTATATATGTATATTTCTTAGGAAGTGAGTTTAAATCATATTTTATTTAGTTCTTTTTTGGCTGAAGTTTTCTTCAGGTATGTTGTAATTGAATTATACCAGACATACCATGAATGATTAACAGTTTTGTTAAGTGTGTAAAAGAAGAATCCAGGGGATCCTGTGATCTGCTTAGGATTCACATTTTTTTTTTTTACTGGTAGTGGAGCTTAAATGCACCTCCCCACCATACCCCCGACCCATGGCCCTATGCTATTCCTTACCTTAAATGCACCTCCCCATCATACCCCCACCCATGGCCCTGTGCTATTCCTTACCTTTTTTGTTCATGCTGCCACTCAAGTCGTACTTCCACTTCTAGTGCTCAGCTGGTTATTTTGATGTAAGACTCTCACAGCCTTTCTGCTGGGGCTGAATTTGAACCTATCCTCAACCTCATCCTATTGAGGATCTAGTTTTATAGTATTACAGAGCCCAGTTTACATGCTAAATATATATACATGTTTAACTTTGTGAGGAGAAAGATCATATATTGAAATAGGTCCTTAGCTACATGTAGAAATCTGAGTAATTATATAATTCTAACGATGAACAAGAAGTCCTATTTTGGTTTCATAGTCTACCTTATTCAAATCTTCAAATTGCAGTTATGATATTGAAACACTATAGCTATTAATGGACACTTAAAAGCAACTTGAAGTGTGTTAAATTAATAGAACTTACTATTTAGAATAGTTTTGCAAGCACATTTGTTTCTACTGATTTTAATCATTTAACTTTTTTGAATACAGCTTTTGTATTTCTTATAAAGATATTTTCAGAGACAATACAATTTTCAATGAGCCCATTTATCACAGAAAATAGGATTCAAGGAAGAAACTTGTTTATAATTTATACATCTATTGTTCAATGGTAATACTTTGAAATAAATGCATTTATGTTATTTTGCTCTATGTGATAGTTACTCCTTTAGAGATAGACAAGTAGCTATGTATTGTATTGTAAAGAACCTCTTTATTCTCTGAAACTTTAAAACATTGTATGCAACACCAATGACATTTTCTGGTGGGTGAAAATAAAATCTAAAGAAAAAGCCAAATGGTCTACAGCACAAATAAAATAGATACTTAAAGATTAAGCTTTCAGAAAAGTGATTATTATTCACAGAACTATTTAATATTTCACTTATATCTGTTCTTATTTGGTAAAATTTCATATGCTTGGTTTCCTAGTTTCAAAGCCCTAAATAGTTTAGAAATAGTCAATTTGAGAGGAACGAGTGACTGCTTTCATAGACATCCAGATAACAGTGAAATGCAAGTCTGGTGATAGTAGGAAAGAAGGAAACTCTTCAGACTGACTTAACATACAAAAAGCACTGCAATATGAAGCCATTTTATTTGAGAACAAATAACCCTAAATAGCTCAATAATTCCCCACATCATTTACCAGCCACTACAATAAAAGTCATAAAAGATTCATTGAGGGAAATGTGTAATTGCATTGGAGAATTTTTTGAGTAAAAAGAAATCCAGAATGTTTAATTTAAAAGAAAACACTTCAAATTTTAGTTATGGGTAACATTTGGGTGGATAGGATGATCAGTTTTCAAAGACTGCTACCTAAATACCATCGTTAAAGTATTAACTTTGTATTGAAAAGCAGCTGCCTACAAATCATTTATGAAAGATCTGAAGAACAAACGTGTAATTCAAGAGCAGGGTGAGATTTTTAAGCACAGTATTTCCCTTTGCATTTGGTTAGTGGAGATAAACAAGAACTTCCCTGAAAGGTTTCTATATGAATAAAGGGTAAATGGAAGCAGTGATGAGGGCAGGGACAAATTTTGTAGACAGATGTACTCCACCACGAAGAGATTGAGACAAAGATGATGGCAATAATTTTCTGGTTGTGTCTTCCTTATCTTTAACTGGAGCCCACATATCAATTGTAAAGAATGATGCCCAAACCTCACAAAAACCATCCATAGAAGAAACTTCTAACTCCATCTTGTGTAAGCGGACTGGGTATTAGTTACACTGTTGAAAAATAATTGGAACCCTGACTGAAATTATTTCCCATGGACCTGTAAATAACAGAAATTGTTCATCAAAAGTCTCTAGGATAAACAAATGTAGGAGGGCCACCCTATAATTCTGATGACTGGCCTGATACTCTCACATAAATACATCTTGTTTTTGTTGACATGTTGCTAAAGTTTTGGATCCTTCTCATGATAACCATCTAGAAGAAGCAAAAAAACAACTTGCTATAGCTAAAAAGACTATAGGTAATTCACCCAATCCCTAGTGAAACCTAGTTGGACACTTTGTTATTTAATTAAATTACCATGATTTAAAAAGAAATTACCTTTAAGTCTGTTTTGCACTTCTAAAGCTATATCAAGAGCATTAAAAGGAAGAACTGGATCGCTGGCAATTTGCAAAAGCACTTCCCCGGAGAGCTGAAAGAAAAAAAGAAAATATCTTACCATTATTCCATAATTAAGAGATTTTTGCTCTTTTATTTGTCTCCTTGCATATATTTTATACAAGCCAAAACTTCAAAAACACAGAGGGAAAATATATTTTTATAAAACCTCTCTTTCTTAAACCTTGTAAATTTTTACAAAGACAAAAAGCTCAATAACTTGTTCATTTCAAATAAAAGCATAAACAAAACAACTTGTAGTGAGTACAAGTTGGAGGCAATTCAGCTAATAAGGAGGCTAAAGGAAGTTGAAATGGTAGAAATGGATTATTTCCAACTGGGAAAATAGAACAATAAACCCTGTTGATACTGTTTTGGGGACGCGGAAATGTGTAGAACAATGTGTAACAATGAACAACCCCTCCCAAAAAATAATCAAAAGTAATTAAAAGGTTTGTCATAGCTTGTTTCTTCTTTGAGCTCCAATGCTCATAGTTGAAGAAATTGTAATCCAATTCAAAACAATTCCTTATATAATAGTTCTGAATTTGACCCAGAAAGGACCTATTAAAAAACAATTCTGATTTTGTGATTTGGTAAAACTTCAGCCTAGCAACTAGGCACTGGTGGTTCATTCTTGTAATCCTGGCTGTTCAGGAGGCGGCTGAGAACTGAGCTTGAAGCCAGCCCTGGAAAGTCCATGAAACTCTATTTCTTATGAACCACCAAAATGCTAAAGTGGAGCTTTGGCTCAAGTGGTAGAGCTCTAGTCTTGAGCACCCCAGCCTTGAGTTCAAGCTCCAGCAAGACACAAAAGAAATAAAACCATTAAAAAAACCCACAAACTCAACTCCAGACTAAATTAATAATCAGTTTTCTTCTCTTAAAATGTAATTCAAACCGAATGTTCTTTCATTGTTTTAACTACTGTTTTCCTTTTGATTTGCCACACTCCTGATCTTTTTCCAATGCCATTTCTTCATTTTTCAAATCACTGTTTAAAATATTTCAAATAAATAAACATTTAAATTATACCCTCCAAAGCTCATAATCTAACTTTTCATCAACACCTATTCTAACACCACCCCATTCTAAAACTGTATTTGAAAACAAGCATATGCACTACAGCTGACTAGCATCTGCTTTAATACACTCAACAAGTCATATGCACTCATACGTATCTCAAAGGACCTCAGGGCTGACAGTAAATGCCATTGTTATCTCTCCCTCTGTCTCATAAGTGATATTTAATATTTATCTGGGCTTAACAAATGTCCCTATGTCTCTTAACATAGGATTCCCTGAACCCAACACACAGGGAAACGTGTCAGTGTTGATATCATTAATGTACCATGAAATGTGGTTAGTGAATGAAAATATTGTCTTGTGTAACTACACAGGGAAATCAGTACACTAACTACAGACAGTGCAGAAGCTGTAAAAGATAGAAATTACAAGGAAAAATAGAATTTTAATATCCAAATCTATATATTCAATAAGGACCAAATTCCATTTAATGTTTAAAATTGTATTTCCCAGTTGTTTGTACAATTCATCTCATGATAAAAATATAATCGAATCTAATCTTCTTCTATATTCTTGGAGAAATAGCTCTTAGAAATAAAGACGAAAAAGAACCACCTCTGATAGCTCTTATTCCTCTGAAGTATTTTTTTCTCCCAAATGTAGCAACCAGTTTCTTCCCAATGCCTAAGATGTCCTCGCAGAGCTCCATCCCCAGCATATAGTGATCACAAACCCCCTGGAAACTTGCCAGCTCTGAACATGCTGTGCCTTGCAAATAGAGAATTGTCTGCAGTAGGTTGATAGGAATCCTTCTGCTACTTCACCCAGCCCATCTACATCATGCAAGAGAAGTGATATTTGAGAAAGTCTATTTATAAAAAGGAATTTGTAAAGAATACTTAACATCATAATGGTTTCCTTTTCCCCAATTTGTACTGGGTAATAGAAAGTATAGAATAAATATGTTTTGTTTACACTTTCAGAATCTGGAAAAAACTCATTACACAGATTAAAATGAAAGAAGGGGGCAAGAAAAGAGACTTTGTGTTCTGCTTAAAAAAAAGGTATTTTATTCTTTTTTTTAAAAAAAACTATTTAGTGGTTTCTACAATTATATGATTTGTCAATGTCTTTGCTAAGTTTTTTTTTTTTTTTCCTAAAAGAACTTGGCATCTAAGAGTGGGAATTCTGAGGAACCTAGCCCATGACAGAATGTGTAGACCAAATTGGCTTTTTAAGCAGCTTCATAAGCTCATATCCCAGCCTGGGCTATATCTCATGCACTTCTTTACCAGACTGGAATTTAGTCCTCTTCAAGCATGGATGAGCAGCTCTTCCATAGTTCATACGGGAAAGATATTCTTTTCAAAGTGTTTCCTAAGTATGCATTTTCTTTTATTATACTGTTAACCATAGAGGATGGTCAGAGATATATGATCCTAGCTGATTTGAATGTGTATGTTATTTTTATTGTAATATATGACATGTTAAGACCGAATTCTCTTGGTTGGTTATAAAGAACTGAAACCAGATTTGAAATAATTAGCTTGTATATATACATACATATATGTGTACATATGTATGTATTTATGTGTGTGTATATATACATATATGTATATATGTATAGATGCATTGGAGTTTGACCTTAGCCTCTATCTCTCATTTGGCTTTTCTTCCACTAAAAGATGTTGCTCAACCATACAAGCCACACCTCTACTTTCAGTTTTGTCTCATAGACTTTTCTTTCTGGGCTAGCTACAAATTATGATTCTCATACCACAGTTTTCTAAAAAGCTAGGACTACAGATGTGATCCACTGGTATTGCCTGGCTAAACTCAAACTCTTTTACACCATCATGTTTTCTTGTATGTATTTTTGATAATATTTTACCACAATCTGAACTGTTTCTTTCAACTGTCTATGGTTATACTACAGTATTTCATTCTCAGTATGGTATTGTTTGAAATTGTCCTACCAGTATATATGCAGGTAACTAAATCTCAAATTCATAGTTGATTATATTTGAGTAAAGGCAGCTTTGGGAGATAATTGGGATTAGATCAGATCATAAGATTTTGGCACTATATGGGTTTTGAAACTATAAATTAAAAAAAGAGTATGTGCATTCTTGAGCTCTCTCAATATGTGATCATTTCTATCATGCTATGACCTAGAAAGAACTTCAGAGCATACCCCATTGATATTGGGCTGCCAAGCTTTCAGAAATGTGAAATGAATACACTTCAATTGTTTATAAATTACCCAACCTGTGATATTTTGTTGTAGTCATGTTAAGTGAATTAAAACAACTATAGCACAAAGCATTAGTAAAGAATTATTCAACATTTGTAAAAGTCCATGATTCTAACTTTATACAAATACATCAGTGTAAAGATTTCTGTGTCATTTCTTATCTCTATTCAGGCTGTCTTGGCTTCTAATAAAAAATAAAGGAAGAGTGAATTAAGAAAATAAATTATTCAGTGCTAAGAATATATGTACATATATGTACATATACACACATAGATGTGTGTGTGTATATATATATGCCCGTCCTGAGGCTTGACGTCAGGGCCTGGGCACTGTCCCTGAGCTTCTTTGGCTCAAAGTTAGCACTCTACCACTTGAGCCACAGTATCACTTCTGGCTTTTTCTTTTTATGTGGTGCTGAGGAATCGAACCCAGGGCTTCAATCAGTCTAGGCAAGCACTCTACCACTACGCCACGTTCCCAGCTCTGGAACTAAGAATATTTTTAAAGCATTTCATGACTTAATACTACATAGTAAAGAATTGCTATCTCACTAAGTAGTGTTGACTCCCACAAATAATTTTAATACTAGGCAAGATTTGACTATCAAAAGAATAAAACTAGAAGTAGACATGTGTCTCAACTAGAGTGGCAGCCTTGATCAAAACAACCAAGAGCCAGGCACGGTGGCTCACACCTGTAATCCTAGCTACTCAGGAGGCTGAGATCTGAGGATCACAGTTCAAAGCCAGATAGGGCAGGAAAATCTGTGAGACTCTTACTGCTCTGTGAGAAACAAGAGAGCTAAAATGTATAAAATCATTTTAAGTTATACCATTTTTAGCATGCCTGCAATTTAACTTTACACAGTGAGAAAACATGAATGGATGGTTTTTTACAAAACAGCATATCTTATCCTACTTGTAAATACACCATGTAATTACTCCACATTTATGGGTTTTAGGACATGTGAACTAGTGTATAACAGAGGAAATGTATTTCAGATTTGGGGAGCAAAAGCAGCAAAATGAGGTAGCATGATGCAGAAATACTTTTTATATAAACATGAAGGATCCAGTTAGTAGGAGGTAAAAGAGTGTGTAGTGTCAGGGAGGAATAAGAAAACCTAACATTCAACCAGTGCATATGGCCATGATTCAACACTCATGGAGGAGTCCTCTTCCCTTCTCTTAAACTTCAGAGCAGCAGCATTATCTGATAAATTACGACCTAGTGAGAGTCCTCATGAATAGTGATGTTCAGACTGTTAAGTTAATCCCAATATTACCAAATTCTGATTGATGTCTCTCTACAGTAGATGACCCTCGATTTAGCAGTCAATGCCCTGTGGATAACAAACCTTAAGTCAATCGTGCAGGGGTAAGGAGATAGAGAGATTTCCTCGAAGATAAGTAGAATAAGAAGCAGTCTCTCAGACCTGATGATCCATTTCTAGAGCTGTGGTGAAATCAGTGCATCAAAAAGAGCAGAAGTATTTTTTTTCCAACAAAAAGAAAAAATTATATGGTCTTATCTAAAACTAGTGCAAAAAGTCTATGCCCTACTAACAGCAAAAGGCACTCTGTAGAATTCTCAGGATCTAGGAAGCTGGGAAGGTGGCTCAGTGGTAGAGCGCTTGCCTTGTATGCATGAGGCCCTGGGTTTGATTCCTCAGCACCACATAAGCAAAAAGAAAAAAGCCAGAAGTGGTGCTGTGGCTCAAGTGGTAGAGCACTAGCCTTGAGCTGAAGAGCTGA